TGGACCCCCCCCGAGCAGCGCCTTGCAGGGCAGGCCGGCAGGGAGCGAGTCTAGATGGGGAACCTGCCGTCTGCAGAAGCTCTCACTGTGCCTGGCGCCCCGCCCTGCGCAGCGCAGACAGCACGGGCTCCGTCCAATCTCGGCTGTAGCGGGGCTACTCCCGTGTGTCTGACAGCTCCTGCCTTCTGCCCTTCCCTGCCGAGACGGGCCCGGAGTCTGGTATTTCCCTCTCTGCAGACCTGGCGCTAGGACAATCAAGCTTTTCAGCTCCCCCTTTCCAATAGCAAATGTCCACCTGAGTTCTGCACATAGACCTGATATTTTGGAGAAGAATATTAAGGCAGTTGGTCAAAGAATTCTCCTCCAGAGTTTATTCTTTGAGCTTCTGAACTGCAGCAAAATCACAAACTTCTGCCGTCTCTGACACGTTTGGGTCTAATCCTCTTTTGTCGCTTCCTCTGCAGTTTAAATTCATTCCCTCTCCGATCTGCCCTGGAGGCTGGTCACACTGTGCGCGCTTCCTGGGGCGCTAGGGGAACTGTGAAAACTGCCTTGCTAGAGGCACCGTGCAATTCACAGCGTGTGAAAACCGCTGCACAATCACCCAGACCCCTTCGCTTCCCATCAGAGAATCCCAGAATCCCAGGGCAGGCAGAGACCTCAGGAGTCATCGAGTCCAACCCCTGCCCAAGGCAGGACCAGCCCAACTCAATCAGCCCAGCCAGGGCTTGGTCAAGCCAAGACTTAAACACCCCTAGAGAGTCCCTCACCTCCCTAGGGAACCCAGCCCAGCACTTCACCACTGTCCTAGGGAAATAGTTTTTCCTAATCTCCAACCTGGACCTCCCCCACTGCAACTTGAGCCCATTGCTCCTCGTTCTGCCACCTGCCCCACTGGGAACAGCCTCTCGCCAGCCTCTCTGGAACCTCCCTTCAGGGAGTTGAAGGCTGCTCTCAGATCCCCCCTCACTCTTCTCTTCTGCAGACTAAATAGGCCCAAATCCCTCAGCCTCCCCTCAGAGGTCATGTGCTCCAGCCCCCTCAGCATTTTGGTTGCCCTCCGCTGGACCCTCTCCAATGCGTCCACATCCTGTCTGCAGTGGGGGGCCCAGAACTGGACACAATCCTCCAGATGTGCCATCGGCTGCTGGCTGGTGAGCCGCTTGCAGAGAAAACAGCACAGTGCCTCCCTCACTCTCACGTCTTATACGTTCCTATGGGACTGTTCTCTGCAGTTTCCTTGTATCTCCCTTTCCCCAACATCAGCTCACCCGCCTTCCCCTTGTTTTATTCAGACGCTGCTGGAGGAGTGACTTCTAACTAGACTAAAAAGTACCTGGCAGGCACCTTCAAACGAGCGTAAAGCAACCCCCCCAAAACATTCTGCTCTTGGGGCTTGTAAGGGAGGCGTCCGGCTTAGCGCATCTCGGTGCAAAGCGTCTCCGTGTGGAGCTTGCCGGGCATGCCAGCCTGCGCCCGGAACCGCCGCCCTTCCCAGCCGCGCTCAGAGAGGTGAGACCCTGCCTGGGTTTTACCCCTGCTTCCCCAAGTGGGGTCCGTCCGTCAGGGCTGGCCGTCTGGGTGGAATCAGATGGTGGCTCTCGTGAGCCTGCTGCTGAGACGAATGAAAACGAGCGGCCCCGTGGCACGGAGACGCTAACACTGCAGGGCCGTTTCTCCATGCGCTTGCTGGATTTGCATCCATCCGGCTCCGTGCGGCACCTCGCCTGTGGGACCATCCCCGAGGGGCCACCGGGTGGGCCTGGGCCTTTGAAAACAGCCAGGAGTCCCGTGGCACCGAGAGACTAACAACCATCTCTGAGCTGTCTCAGGGCTCCGGGCTGTTTTCAAAGTCACAGCCTCACACCACGACCCCCTGAGGCTGAGGTCCTTTCCCCCTGCCACCCGACGGTATCCGCCGCCAGCACAGAGCCGACGGAGGAGGAGTTATCGGTGGGAAAAACGCTGCCTGGGGCGTTCGTACAATTGGCCAGAACTGCCCAGGGCGAACGGACGAAGGAAGAATCTTGGGGCATCTCCCCAGCTGCTGGGAGGCCTTGTCCCTGGCTCCGGTCCGGCTCCCGCGAGCGCCCACGACTCGGAGTCGCCTCTCGGCTGGTACACGGGGCAGCTAGTCCAAGCCGTTGCCTGGATCGCTGCAGCCCCATTGGTTTGAGCAGAGCTGACGTGTGAGCCAGGCCTGCCCCCTGCCAGCACATGGCAGAGATCCCCCGGTCTGGGCAGCAGTCGGGGGAGCCAGGCCCAGCAGCGTCCCCACTCAGCTCCTCCCCGTGCCGGCCCAGTTCCTGGTGCTGTGAGCTGCTTTCCCAAGAGCAGGTGGCTGGAGGTGGCGCTGGAGAGGGACCGGGCGAGGGCGCCCTTCCCGGAGCAATTGCACTTTTCCAGTGGCAGAAATCCTCGTGAGTAGCAGCGTGAAGCTGACCTAGGCTGGCAGGGTCCTGCGGGGCCACGGGCCAAGGCCTGGGCCCAGCGGCACGGAGACCCCCATGTGGCTGACATCCAAACGGCACCGCCGCCCCTGAGGCGCCCACCCGCCTGAGAGCGAGGGGCGGGGCGGCGCCGGTCCTGCTGCTGCAAGGTGTCGCTGAGGGGCCTGGGCCCGCGAGGCGCAGAGCTGGTGGGAAGTGGCGTGCTGGGCCCTGCGTTCACAGCCGGCTTGGAGAGCGCTCGCCCTTCGCGTGCTGCCGCGTTGAGGGGATGGTCATGCCCCAGGGCCTGGCTGGCAGTGGCGAGGCCACGCTACAGGCCAGGAGAAACCCAACAGCCACGTGTGGCACTTGGGAAGGGCCCCGAGTGTAGACCAGATGCCAGCGTGTCCGCATGGCGTGCCCGGCTCCGTTCCGCCTCGTGCTCATCACAAGCACAACTTCAGGCCCTATTCCTCCCCCGTGGCCTGAGCCTCCCTCAGCCAGGGGCAGGGGCAGCTTCCCACCGGTCACTCCTCTGTATCCCCCCCGGTGGTGGCGTGGCATTGGGAGCAGTCCGTCCCTGTGTTCCCTGGAAGCTGAGCACTTGGGCAGCCGCCCAGGTGGAATCGAAAGCCGCCCAGCTGTTTAGCAGAGCCACAGCCAGGAGCAGGTGTTTCTACTGGTGGTGCACATCTGCACATGCCTGGGTGCACATAACAACTTTATTCTGCAACAGGTGGACACAATTAGAAGGGACATTGGTCAGCACCTGTGTGTTTCCCAGGCAGCGCTGGCCTGCGGGTCTCCTCTGTCCCCAAGCAGTGCCCGTCTTTCTCTCCCCCGCAGGCTGAGCAATACCAAGAAGCAGGCAGTGCACACGGTGATGGGCATTTGGATGGTGTCCTTCATCCTCTCCACCCTGCCGGCGGTCGGCTGGCACGACAAATTAGAAGGGACATTGGTCAGCACCTGTGTGTTTCCCAGGCAGCGCTGGCCTGCGGGTCTCCTCTGTCCCCAAGCAGTGCCCGTCTTTCTCTCCCCCGCAGGCTGAGCAATACCAAGAAGCAGGCAGTGCACACGGTGATGGGCATTTGGATGGTGTCCTTCATCCTCTCCACCCTGCCGGCGGTCGGCTGGCACGACACCACCGAGCGCTTCTACGCCCGGGACTGGCGCCTCATTGTCACCGAC